CCTATCCCTAACACACTGAGGGAAATATTTTTCAAAGAAGGACTCCTTGAACTGAGCCCAAGTCATAACAGTATTATTTTACGCGCGATGGTCGCTCGATGGTCGCTCGAGCGGATTCCTGGACAAAGGTGCTCGCTCGAGCGGGGGATCCTTCGCTCGAGCGAGGAAGCCAAATCTGGAATTTCCAGATTTGCCTCCCAAGCTCAAACCAAGCATTCTACCACTCCAAACTCGACCTCTTGGGCCCAAATTCTGGAAAACATCACTAAATTCAATGTATAACAAGTTTCAAAGCTCAATTTATGAATTCAAGCCCCAAAGGTGAGTCAATTAGAACCATATTCAAACCCATTTTCAAAAATATGAAGAACATGCAAACATGCAAGGATTTAAACCAAATCAAAGCTTCAATTTGATGCTCCAAGGAGCCAATTGTTTCCAAAACATGATGAAATCATGGGCTTAAACATAAATGTGAACATGCATGTAACATTTTGCCATGAAAACAACTCAACATCTATGATACAACCATGCATGCAAGGATTGAGCTCCAATTCAACAACAATGAACCAAAACATGACTTAGTTCTACAATGAAGCATGAATCATGCAAGAACTAGCTTAAGAACAAATCAAAAGGATGAAATTCATACCTAGGTTCCTCAGATGCAAGTCTAGAGGTTCAATTTAGCAATCTACACTTCAATTCCAAGCAATTCAAGCCAAATCAACAAGAACAATTCTCTCTCTCTCTAACTCTCCTCTCATGGTCGGCTAAGCTCAGGAGAAATGACTGATGGAAATGTTTTGAGTCAAGGATGCAAGGCTCTAGCATCACTAGGTAGTGTGCCACTAAGGGTGGCAATATGGTAAATAAACCAAACTCTTTAATTAGCTTATTTTAATCTAACTTAATCATACCTAATCAGTTTTCAGGTAAATACACCACAAAATCACATAAATTCTGTTGATCATTAAACATCAATCAATTTTGGATTCGGCCGCCGATAAGGCCTTCAATTTACAGTTTAAACATATAAGCATGAACAGATATTCATACAATCAAACAGATAGGATGTAATTTAACTAACATATACTCCATCAATTCGGTTTCCAATTTCAGTCAGTCAGTTCAGCACTTTAATCAATTCAATTATCGATCATAATCAATTCAGTTTAACGGTAATCGATGGTTATCGGTAATCAATCAGTCATAAGTCGGTAAACAGTATGAGGGTTGTTACACTTTTGGAGTAAATTTGAAAAAACTTCCAACATGAAACGTCACAGTGAAAAAAAAAAGAAAAAAAGAAAAGTATAAGGACCAAAGTTGAAAAATGACTTAACATAAAAGGGGCAAAGTATAATATATCCCAATAAATAAATATAACGGTAATATCACGTTGTTATTGCTATGTGGTATTACCTTATATAATATGTAATCGGGGTATTTGGCCTAGTGATTGTGGTGTGAAGTCTCGGGTTCCACACTATTACTAGTTACCCAACTACTTCACTACTCCATTGTTGTGAGGTCTCACGTTTATTTCTCCCTTATTATGAGGATTGTAAGTAGTAGTGGAGTGGTTGTAGGGCTTAGCCACTTTGTTAACTTTTTAATTATTGTAAGTTAATAATATATGTCTATGTATATATATATATATATATTAGATTGGACTAGTACTCCCTCCGTCCCAAAATAATGGTTCCTTTTGGAGAATCCAACTTTTTTTAGTAGTACAATTATTGCACTTTTAAAAAGTTAATTTTTCAAAATTACCTTTTGATAGTACATTTTTTTGGGAATATCAATGTCATAATTGTATTTTTTATATTATTTGTGAATTTAAAAAAAGGGCAAACTAGAAAATTTATATTATTTTTATACTTGATTTTTGAAGAGGAACTAATATTTTGAGATAATGAAAAATGGAATAATGGATTAATATTTTGGGACGGAGGGAGTTATATGTTTGATAATACCTTATGTTACCATGTAGCTTAACTAAGTGCATTTGATAATACCTTATTATATAATATGTTGCCATGTAACTTAACAAGTACATGTGGTAGTTTTTAAATTATTATGAAAGTGTTAATTATATCTTAAAATGGGTTCACCCTTTACTTTTATAATCAGTTAGTTATCAACATGGAAGGTTTAAAATTCATAATTTTAATTTAATTATAATTAAAACATTCTTCATTTGCCCAAAAAAAAATTCAGTATTTTTTTTTTTAAAGATTATGTTCAAATATATAAATTAGGATGAAATTGTAAATATATATAGTACATTCCTATTTCAAACTCCGTTAATAAAATAATTTGTCAGTGTAATATGTGTTCAGTATTAACATAAAACATAAGTAAATCATACCTCAATTATTGCAGTATATTTTAAATAAAATTTCACTACAACTATTTCAACTTCTATGATTTTTTTTTTGAATTCAAATTAACAAGTAAAACCATACAAAATATTACAAGCACATAAAATTTTTATGCTCCATCCGTCTCAAAATAATAGTCTTTTTGGAAAATTCAACCATTTTTTATAGTACAATTATTGTACCTTAAAAATATTAATTTTCTAAAATTACCCTTTGACATTACATTTTTATTACGAATATCAATTGTTATAATTGTACTTTTTGTATTGTTAATGAATTTAAAAGAATAATAAAATAGAAAATCATATTATTTGTCCTTGATTTTTGAAAAGGAACTAATATTTTGAGACTATTTTGAGTGCTATGTTTGGATATAATTTTCAAAAATTAATTCTGCACCCACGTTTGAGAAGTTTCCAAAATATGGGTGGTAGAGAGAGTACTTGAATTTTGAATTTTGAAATTTGGTCTATCTGGTCGTCCGCCCGGATAGTTTTTGAATTTTTGAGTGTACTCGATTGTCCTCTCAGACATCCCCCAAGACATTTGGCCAATTGACTGAAATAATTTTTTTTTTTTTTTTTGTAACTGTTATGTGAAAAAAAATTTAAATAATTTTTTTCAATAGTTATTTTTTAAAATTAAATTTTAAAAAGAGTTTAGTTAGGAGTTTTGAATAAAATTTTTAATAGAGTTTTAAGTTGTGTGTTTGGTTATGAATTTTTTAATTAAGTTTTGAAAATCCTTTTTAAAACTCATAATCAAACAACTTTTTTTTTTTAATCTTAAAACTTATTTAAAAATTCAACGCTCAATTTAAAATTCAATTCAAAACTCTTTTCCAAACTCATAACCAAACAAATTCTCTTTTCAAATTATAATTTTAAAACTCTACCAAATATTACCTAATATTTTGCAACGGAGGAAGTATATTGTTTGTACCTCTGCATAAAATAAAAATAAAAATAAAAAATTCAAATCAGAAGTATTGGTACACGCAACTTTCTCACCAAGTATATATATAACATATACAGTGGCATAATGTAATATTTTTTGTACATAAAGGAATTACAGATTGAATTAAAAAAAAAAATTATCTGTACATTTAGGAATTACTTTCTCCCATTCTCCGATTTCTCTGTTTTCTTTTCTTTTCCTTTTCATGTTATTTGTTAATTACTAGAAATTGGGTTTTAAAGTGTGACAACGTGGCAGCAGTATTATTCAGATTTAGATCAAGATGTACGGAGGTTCAGGCATCAGATGGGGCACGGCATTATTTTCTACGTAGAAAAATGCTTGGGAGCACTAATTAGTGCTCCCACTAATTAAGTGGCAGTGGGTCCCGCCATTAATGATGTGATGTTTTGGTCTTGGAGTTGTATTTTTTTTTTTTTTTTTAAACTTTTTTAATGCATTAGTGCTATTAGTGGTGATGTTTTTAGTGTGATGAATCATTGTTGTTCTACGTAAAAGATTCATTCAAATTTGATATATATATATATATATATGCATATAAAATTAACTGGCTTCATTTGAAGCTCTGAATTTGCCTCCTAGGTTGGGTTGTGAACACCCATGGCAACTTATTATGACCACATAATTTGCAAACATGATAACCACCATAGACTTAGCTTTTACATAAATTCTTCAGATTTGGATTATAATTTGAGTCATGAGCATGTCAGATTCTGCTTTCTCAAAGAAGTAGGGAAAAAAAAAAAAAAAAAAAATTTCTACAAAGATTAAATAACCTATATACATGTTTCCTTTCATGAAATTTTGATCAATAACAACATTTCTTGCCAATTAAAGCGATGACTGATCAAGCAGCACCGAGGTAGTTTTTCCAGGTCCCATATCTTGAACTGAAGGTCCCTCCGCCATTCTGCTCAGCATATTCAGATATGACTGCACGGGCACAAACATCCCAATTCTTTGCTATCTCTCCAAGCGACATAGGTTGCAACACATTTCGAAGAATGATACTCAGCTTTGACTTTGCTTTTACCGATAAATCTTCACTCCCCGTACTGTCAATTACCAAATCTATATCAGAGTGAAGTACAACATGAAACAATACTAAAAGGAAGAAAAATAGAGTTACAAGAAAATGATACATCTTTTGCTGAGCAGCAGCATCAAAATAAGGTTGGGAGAAACCAGAGTAACAGATTTGATATTTTGGAATGGTTTTAGAAAATCCTACAGATATGCTAAGTTGTGACTTTGATTGTATAAAAGAGAATACATCTCGCAAAACCTAGGAAAATAAGAATGGTATAAGAACTTCCAAAAATTGAGAGTAAAGACTAGCTAGCTATACATGCAATGCTTCAAGTGTTTTCAACATGTTATGTAACACCCTAGGTGCTATTGCATGGCATAATCAAATCTTTTATTTTAATAATAAAAAGCCTAGAGTTAAATTTGTTTTCTTTGTCATATGAAATGCTAAAAGGGGTCATATCAATTTACTTAAGATATATGATTTGCTATTCTATGTTTCTTATATGTTTTGAATCTCTCGATCTTGCACCATGCAAGATTGAGAGATTATCTTTTGAGCATAATATGTTCATATATGTCTTCAATTCTTTAATCAAGGTGTTTGATTACTTTGGTCTAATGGGCATGACATTTTCACATGTTAATTCTTTAATCAAGGTGTTAGATTACTTTGGTCTAATGGGCATGACATTTTCACATGTTATGTGGAAACCTAATTGAGACTAGTGATAATTAAGTATGCTTTGCAAGCGTAATCATGATTAAGACTACTCATAATTAATTAGGTTAAACAAGATTAGAGACTTAACCTAACGTCATTAGTATTTATCTTGATTAATTAAGCTAATTATATGATTAGTTGGTTAGAGGTAGGCAAACACTTCATCTAGGAATGCCACCTGGCATATATCTATATATATAAAAGAGAGACAAGTGTCTCTCAAAGGGTTAGAAACAAGAGCACATAAAGAGAAGCGAGAAAATTTTGGTCTAGAGATAAACTAGACCAAGAGGAAATAAAGAACAAAATGGAAAATCTGGTTTTTGATTCCTACTTTTTTTGGCTTAAATTTGAGGTAAGATTCATTTTTGTCGTCTAATTAAAACCTTGTAATTGGTTGATTTTGCTTTGGAAATGGATTTGAAATGAAAATTAGGAGTGCAACTTGGGCGGGTTCAACCTGAGCAACCCGAGTCCAGCCCGAATTTTTTTAGGGCTTGGACAAAATATTTTCAAATTTGGTACGGGCTTGGGCAAAAAATCAAAAGCCCGAATTAAATTTGGGTGAAATTGGGCAAAGACGTCAAACAACCCGAGCAACCCAAAGCCCGAATTATATATATATATATATATAACTATTAAATATACATATAAATTATTAGCCATTTTTTTGGGTGAATAAATTATTAGCCATTACATGATATTAAAGTAATTTATATTATTAAATCATATTTAATATATATTATATATACAAATAACATAAAATCTTACTTTTTTTCTTTTTATTTTCACTCATTAATTGTAAGGACTACTATAGTGGCATCTCTCTTACATTCTATAAATTATTTGTTTTGATGGTATTAATGATTTTCTATTAAAAAAAAAAATTGTAAATAGAGTCAAATTTTAATAATTTAATAATGTAGCTGCAAAAAAAGAAAAATTCATTTACAATTCGGGCAACTCGGGTTTAACTCGGATCGGGCTTGGGCAGACAACCTCGGGTTACAATTCGGGCTTGGGCGGGTCTCAGCACAACTTGGGTTAGGCTTGGACAACTTCCTAACTAAATCGAACCCGCCCGAGTTGCACCTCTAATGAAAATTCGAGAAACTTAGGGCTGTGTTTGGGTCTATTCTCCAAACATATTTCCATCCCTTATTTTGAGTGTCTTGTTTGCTTAGAGTTTTCAAAAATTAATTCCACACCTACTTTTGAGAACTCTTTCCAAGGTGGGAAAATTTGGGGTCATCCCCCAGACGTCCGGCCGGTCGACCGAAACAGTGCTCTTTTTTTCTTTTTTTAACAATTGCCAACTGTTAATCAAAGTGTTTGATTACTTTGGTCTAATGGGCATGACACTTTCACATGTTAAGTGGAAACCTAATTGAGATTAGTGATAATTAAGTATGCTTTGCGAGCCTAATCATGATTAAGAATACTCATAATTAATTAGGTTAAACAAGATTAGAGACTTAACCTAACATCATTAGTATTTACCTTGATTAATTAAGCTAATTATATGATTAGTTGGTTAGAAGAAAAAGAGAGTTACTGTGGTTTTGACATAGCTGGAGTTGACCCAGTTATGTTTAATACCCTCTGCTGGACATTAATACAATGATTGGAATTAGAAATGCATGACATGTTATGATTCAAATGCAAGTTAAGCTTCTATAAGCTTTTTATAACCTATGACAATTTGTTAGGAGAAATCCTTGTTTGCCTTCGAATAGTTTCAATATATCACTATTCATTGGGCTTTGGCTCACCCCTTTTCCCCATGTACGTAGGTATTGACGGTGTGGTTTGATGGCCAACAACTTCAAGTTGTGTATAAGGAATAAGCATATATGTATTTTATTATTATTATTTATTATTAAGGGTAGTTTAGTCTTTAGTATTTTTAGGGTTTGTTTAGCTGAGATATATATATATATATCTCACTTTGTAACCTTATTTTCTATGCTTAATAATACTATCGTTGCTTTCTCTTTTCTTAATTATCATGGTATTAGAGCTCTGGTTGAGAGGTCATGGGTTTAAGTCTCTCTGTAAGCATTTGGTATTATTTCTCCGTTTGGTTTCTTCCTCTTTGTTTGGTTGTTTACTTCTCCTTCTATTCAGTTCTTTGTTTGTCTCTCCACGATGTATCCAAATGTATTTGCCGTACCAGGCATGTATTTGGCGTACTTAGTACCCGGTACCCGCACCTGATAAGTACCCGGTACTTGTACGACACTATTTTTGGAGTACCCGTGTTGTTAGGACACCTAAAAATGTGTTTTGCTTATTGTATGACTAATTAAAAAAAAAATCATCAAAAACCATTCTTTTAATACTGGCAGCCAGATTAGAGGAATTACCCACCACTCATTTTTGGTCAAAAACTCCAAAAATCACTTTCAAAAAAATCGAGGACCTTCCCTGCTAGCAATAGGCTGGTGAACCCACTCCTGGTAATCCTCTCCAAGGTGGCCAACCTGGAAGACGAGAGGTTTATTCAAATCCACTGTGAAGCCTTGTGCAACCATCTTGGCACCCTTTTATATACCCAAGAGAATGTTGGTACCGATCTGTGATTGCAAAGACGGACTTTCTATCTCTAGAAACCCAGGCCAAATATTTGGGGGGCTCCTTGTTTTCTGCTGGGAGGAAGTGATTAGTGGGAGAACATGGCCTTGTCATTTCGCCGGCGAACATCCATTTTTAGCCGGAATCCGGCCGGCGAGGAAGGGAAGGATTTAGGCAGTGATGGGAAGGTATGTGTAGAAAAATAAGCTGAATAGGTTGAGGTCCGGCGGACGGCTAAGGCGAGGTTGCCGCCCGCCGGGGAAGTGAAAAATATTAGGTTCTACACCTGCTCTGATACCATGTAAAAATAAACTGATAGAGAGAGAGCATAAATTGTGTATATATTATGATTGATATATTGATTGATGCTTTGATGTATTACAAGATTTATTAATTACAATTCCTATACAATCTATATATAGAAGAAAATGTGGTAGTAGGTGTAGTGGAGGTGATAGTGGGTTAGGTGAAGTGGAGTGTGTGGTGAAGTGGAGGTAGGTGAAGTGGAGTGTGTAGTGGAGTAGGTGAAGGTAAAGATGGGAAATTCTAACAAAAAAAAAAAATAGTATTGGGTGGGGGTTTAGAAGGGATTGATTGGGCACAGACCTAACATTTAGCATAATTTGCACAAACAAAGTGGTTTTCCTCAGGATGAACCCAAAACATCAACGTTTGTAGACCAGGTTTTAACCACTTACTAGTGGCCACTGCTCTGTTAATTATTGTGAAAAGGTAATTATAAGTGCATCCTTTGATTTTAAAATATTTAGGACGGCCTATGTACGCCTTAATTGTTTTACTATTCATGTTGAGTATAGACTAAGCTAGTACACATATAAAGGATAATGGCAGGACCCTAATTATTCATGTTGAGTATAGACTAAGCCAGTATACATATAAATGATGAAGGCAGGACCCTAATTATTCGTTCTTTCCTCTTCATCTCAAATGTTTCTACTCCCTCTTTTCTCTTCTTTTTTTTCCCCCCCCTTTTATTTTTCATCATTTTCAACAGTTTCAACTAAAAATTTTCACTTCAAATCTAATAAAAATCAAATTGCAATTTTAGTGAAAATAAAAAATCGTGTGGTTATTCACCCAAAAAAAAAAAAGTTGTGTGGTAATTGGAGAACTACATTAGGTGCTGCATAAAGTTTTATAAAGAAATGACAAGAATGACTTGAATATGAAGTGAAATCATAATAGCCCATTCTCTTACCTGACTTCTGCTGGCAACTTGTCTAGGAGTACAGGGGAACAAGCTGGATAATTTCTTGGAACAAGCAATCGTAAGGGCAGTATAGGTGACTGAATATCCACAAAGCACAAAGTAATTCAGATGACGAAACATACAATTGATGATCAATTTATAGGTAGACAAATGCTTGAAAATGTACCACTGGAGCTGAAGCAGGTTCAGTTTTCATGTTAGGATTGATGGTGATAGCATTAAAAGAGCACTTGACAATGGTTCCTTCATCACCTTCAGTTACAGATGTTGCTCCTGTTGAATTAACTTCACTGATATCAACGACAGTGTCTATCAATTGCTGGTTTATCTCCCTTATTTCTTTCAATAGCGTCCAATTTACCTGCAATATGATGTATTAGTTCTTGTATTGAAAAAATTAAAAAATGAAATTCTGATGAAATTTTCATGATTATTAAGATGGAAGTTGATCAACAAACATATTAACATGGGGTCTCTTTTTGCCCAAGAAATCTATGTAACCAAAACTCTGCTATCTACACTTATAATATACACATATATATATCCAAACAAAACTAACCTTTTGTGTCCCAATCAATTAAGGTTGGCTACATTAATATTTTTTTTCCCGTTCTTCTCTATCAAAAGCTACATACTCAGTTAAATTAAATATATTCATATCTTTTAACTGTTTCTATAATTCATATATTTTTCCCCATTCTAGTCTTATAGTTCTATAAAAATTTGCCTTTCAATTTTGTTGGTATTTGTTGATCACATAATATGCCAGATGCACTTCTCCACTTAAGTCAACTTACTTTGATTCTATGAATCACATCATCTCCAATTTTGTTGGTCTTATGGGTGTTCTATATATATATATATATATATATATTTTTTTTTAAGAGAAAGAGAACAGAGAAGAAGGTTTTATAGATGTATATACCACAACAAGAGTTCAGTCCATTCGTTAGACACAAGTCGACAAACTAGGTTGACTGGAAGCAGACTTGAGAGCCTCCTGAGTGCCGACAAACCTAAAAGGACAGGCTAGGGCAATCGACAGGCCTTGAGGAGAGCAAAGGAGGCTTCGGCTGCCCTGGTAGAGAGCCGACTGACCTTCGACTGAGCTGGGTGGGGTTTGACTGACACAGACAAGGGCAGTCTAGGGTTTGGGTTTGATTTGGATTTGGGTTTGGGTTTGGGTTTGGGTTTGGGTTTGGGTGGCCTTCAGTGGAAGCAAGGTGGCTATGATTGGTGTTAGGTTCCTCCTATTACGGCTTTACTACCATGTAAGTTTAGAGAAGAGGAAGAGATAGGGAATGAGTGAGACCTCATCCCTTTTATATTAAGAACAAAGCATAATTACAGAAGTGCCACAAGGCATGAATTATGGGCCAACTCATTACAATCCATTACATCAATCAAGGAATAAAACAAAACAGAATAAATTGTGTGAATATAATTTCCTTATTCTAACAAATCCTACTTGGGGGGCGTATGCACTAATAACATTCACTATATTCTCTCCAATAACAAATTTAACTAGCATAATCCTATCACCTTTACTAATGACCGCCACTACATTTTTCACAAGACCCTTGGCAACTATTATTCCTACCCTATTTCTGTGTCTATCCTTGCCACTATAATACAGTTTAAACCCAATATCCTCAATTTCCCTAGCTTTCTCATCCGTCCACTTAGTTTGTTGTATGCATGCTATGCTAACTCCTAATCATAGCATCTATCAATTCCATAGTTAAAGTTCCGATATTCCATGTGGCTACCTTAAACCTATAGTCTTGGACTAGCTTCTTTACCTGCGCTTGCCAGAAAAAAGCGAAAACCTTTGCCCATTTTTCACCACACCCAAGCGTCGATGCAACGCCCCTTGCTCACTTTTCGAAACATCCAGAGGCAGGAGCAACGCATTACTTTAGGGGAACGACCTAGCATTTAATCGATTCAAGGTAGAATTCATTGTTATAAGGGATTCGAGCGGCTTTTTTATATGTTGGCTGTCAGCTACCTAATACACAACCCTCCTCCTTTACCCAGGCTTGGGACCAAAAGAGTTGTTAACTTCTTACCTATTAAACTACATGATCATCATTCAAAACAATATTTTCATTGATTTAAGTCTAAATATTTTATATTCATAAGATGTATTTAACATCCAAGTGTGTAGATATATTTTTTCAAGTAATTTAGAAAAAAGTGACCCAATTTTTACGATTCACGATTCGAATTCCAATTTGACAACTATGTTCATGATGTATACATTATACGAGGAATTCCAAGGAATATCCTTCTGTGTGAAGCAACACTTGCCATTAGGGAAGAGACCTAGATGAGGTTTGGTAACTTGTGTTCAATGGCTAAAAGAACATTCTTTTGTATGCAAATGACCCTAACTAGATTGTCGAAGGAAAAAGACTTTGGGCAGCATCCCATCATAACTCTAAGTGCAATACTGGATTTAGTGGGCTATAAACCCCCTGAGAAAACAGTTAGCAAATACTATTATGACTATGGTCCTCATGACCCCCACGATATTATTGCTATGTGGATTGTACATTGAGATGGTAATCATTGGTATACTTGGATCTCATCTTTATCCTACACTTTATGTCTGATGATAAAAGTAGTTGACTTATATTGATTCTTGTTAATAGCTATGTAGTTGTTATCGTATGTTTAATCTATTCCTTATTCCTATTTTAAAGCTAGATTTACTATTGCATGTCATTATCATTCACTGAGTCGTGAACTCACCCCACTCTTCACAATTCCAAGTAAGCATGTAGTGGAGTATATAGGACTCTGGCAGTGTGAGGACCTATTCTCGTGTGACCTTAGGATCATTCGTTATTTATTATGTTCATACTTTTCATATATGTAAACTTTACCTTATCGTATCAGTTGTACAATATATATATATATATATATTTTCGAAATGTATGGGTTGCTTGTGCCCTTTCCCTTAATTGGGTTTGTCCAGACTTAATGTTATAACCATACTTAATAGCTATTTCATGTGTTTGTCAATGTGAGGCATTGGATTAGGCTTTCATGTTCCATGGGCTAAGTCTACGTGGTTCAAGACCAGTCATGTCCAAAAATTGGGGTGTGACAGTTTCCACTGGATAAAAGATGGTGCAGGCCTATATTTATTGTGACAGTGGTTTGAGGTCAAGCTATGGATGTTTCAATCTAAGAGGAATAAATTGATTGCAAATGTTCATAATCTAGATTAGGTTTCCTATGTGTCTAGGTGTATATGTACTCTACTCGTAGATTAAGTGCAACATGTTGAAAAAATTTAAATGAGAAAGTATAAAATCAAATGGTTATATGTGATTGCCAAGCTCAATGAGTTGGGGCATGACTAAGCCAACTATTTGTGCTATCTAGTTTTAGTTTTAACAGACAAAATTGAGGCTTATTCTATCATAGATTTCAGCTTCTAAAAACAAATGGTTTCAAATGGAGGAACAATTTGAAAGAAAAAAATGTATAAACTTCTGTTGGAATGTGTCCCACATCGCCTGGAGTTGCCCCATCTATGCTAGTTATAAGGCTCCAATTTCCCTCTCCTTAACACCTGGGTTTTAAGGAAAAGTGTGGGTTGGGCTTTTCAATTTGGTATTAGAGCTTGGTTGGGCCTGTAATTGGTGTGCCATTTGTCTGGCTACTATATGTTGAGGTTCAAAAGGGTGTGTTGAAATGTGTTCCACATCGCCTGGAGTTGCCCCATTTGTGCTAGTTATAAGGCTCTAATTTCCCTCTCCTTAATACCTGAGTTTTAAGGAAAAGTGTGGGCTGGACTTTTCAATTTGGTATCAGAGTTTGGTTGGGCCTGTAATTGGTGTGCTGTTTGTCCGGCTACTATATGTTGTGGTTCAAAAGGGTGTGTTGGAATGTGTCTCACATCGCTTGGAGTTGCCTCATTTGTAGTTATAAAGCTCTAGTTTCCCTTTCCTTAATACCTGGGTTTTAAGGAGAAGTGTGGGCTGGACTTTTCAATTTGGTATCAAAGCGTGGTTGGGCCTGTAATTGGTGTGCCATGTCCCACACCACATTGCCTAAAGTTGCCCCATCTGTGTTGGTTATAAGGTTTCAGTTTTCCTCTCCTTAATACTTGGGTTGTAAGGAGAAGAAGGGATTGTCGGCACTCAAGGAGGAAGGAAGAAGATGAGACAGTGGCTGGGTAGAGAACTAGGGTTTCTGTGCTCTGGCTTTGCTACTAAATTGAAAAGCCAAACCCACACTTCTCCCTAAAACTCAGGTATTAATGAGAGGGAAACTAGAGCCTCATAACTAGTACAGATGGAGCAACTCCAGGCGATGTGGGGTACATTCCAACAACTTCATCATTGAATATCAAGCTATCAAAAAGTGTATCCATAAAATCAGTATGTTAAAGATCATTTCAAAGCAATTGTTGAAATGAGATGACTAGAAGAAAGCAGTACATGAGAAGGGAGTAAATCTAATAGACAAAATTAAAATGCTACAACTGAGGCTATGGATCTCCGTTCTGATAGTAGATGAATAACTTTCATGATGAAAAACACAACTGAGGTAGGAAAAATGACAACATTCAGGATGTACCGATGATAACAAATATGATAGCTTCAGTACATATGTCAGAATTGTTTGATTAGTACACCTGATGTATAATGATTGTGAAAAAAAGAAAAAGAAGAGAACGAATCATCAATAGCTTCTCATTATGTCAAAAAAATTCTCACAGAATGTACTATACCTCAACCCTAGGCCTCTTGTTATGCAATGTTGCAGTTGACGACTCATCACATGTCTTAGGATCTGTGAACTGCTTGCAACTATCAGTTATGCAGCCTGATGCAACAGTGTTTGATGGCATTGCTCTTGCATAGCGCCTCATTTTCATTGTCATAGAATTCCCATCTAGCTTTGCTCCTTGTAAACGAAAATTAGTTACCGGCACCAAATCCTCACCAACTGCAGATCGAGATCCATTACCTGGTATTGATCCTGCTGTCCTCTCAACCATTCTCACAATTGACTCCATGTCACTAACAGAAGAACTTAATGCTTCGTAAGACATTGATCTCACCTATAATTAACAATGAAATAAAAGTATCATTCATATGAAGATACTGTATATCATGCAAGAAAAAATAAAATGCATCATGGGAAACTCACAACAGTGTAGACTAACCACTTTAATTAATTGCTGAATAGGCTCCTCAGTAACACTTGGCTCACAAAATTCTGTTGTTGAAACATGATTATGATTTTGATCCAGATCACTCTCTGCAAGCAAGAGTGAGGGTGAAAGCCCAGGAGTGGAAATCACAAAGGATGTGTCCAGAGCTAGTGCATCAGATGTTTCTTTTAGTTCATTATTTGCAGAATTTGTGATTGAGGAAACAACAGAAGTAAGTCTATTGAAATCTCCTTTAATGGGTAATGGACCCAACGAAGTTGAAGGAGGAGCAACGGACATTGAATTTGACGATTGCAAACGATTCCCAGAATTTCTAAAAGATGTTTGCAAAATTTTCTGGTCACTCAGTGGGGAACAATGTTGTGGAATTTGAGGGGATGCTGTCTGAAGGAGTTGAGGTAAAGACATAGGGGATAGAGCTTCAGGCTTCACGAAACAAGGGTTATTCACTGAGAGCTTGCCTACAGAATGGTGTTGCAGACAATTCCCTGCTTTAACACCCATTCCTTGTCTCACTTTCATGCTGTTTACTTCATTCATCTGATAAAGCTGTGGACTCTGTTGTGCCAGTAACATCGCAGGCTGCCGGTGGTGCTGAAGCTCTATGTGCTCTTTATTTTGCATTAATTGCTTTGTCATTTGTCGTTGTTGAAACTGTTGCTTTGCCTGCTGAGCCTTTATCATTTGTGGCTCATTAAGTTGTTTGAGACACTTGTTCTGAAGCTTGCTAGAATTCATTTCAAGGTGATTAATGTTCTTCCCTGGCATATTACCTCCACTTTGTGACAATGAGCTGCAACTTTGTGAGCTTTCAGCAATTGGTGTGCCATTTTTTTGACAATAAACTAACCAAATTTTCTTGTTCTGAATTAGAATTGGTACTAAGCTGTTGTAAATTCATCATGTTCTGCTGTGAAGTTGGTACCTCAGATGAAATTGTTGAAGCATTTGTCAAGCTTGTCACATTGTTCTTTTCCATAGCTGTTTCATTGTGATGTGAGTTCATTGATTGCAAATGGGGATTAGTTAGGTTCCCAGTTGACTGCAGTTTAGCATTTTGAAATTGTGGCTGCAAAGGCTGCTGCAAGGATTGCACATCACGGGTGGGAAATTGTTCTTGCCGCAATGAGGAAATGGACCTTGGGGATTTATGTAGTCGGAGAAGATTATTTATCAATTTCTCATACCCACCCAACTTTCTTTTCACATCTGGTGAGATCTCAGATTTGGGCATGTGTAGGAAAACAAAGGCTTTCTTCCTTAAACTCTCTGCTAATTTAAGCTTCTCATAATCAGCCATCTTTGGGTGTTGTGGAATGGTATCAATCTGAATAACATAAAAGAGAAATGTTTTTCAAATTTAAATATGGTCAACAATCAGAGTTGTCAGAAATGAGAAAGAAGTAAAACATATCTGTACTTGTTTGGGAAGACAGTGAAATACAGAGGCAATAATGTTAAAGTACCTGGTGTAATTTTATGGAAATCTTTTCTTTCAGTTCTTCCAGTTCAGGTAAATATAAATCCTTCATAGTTTTAATCTGTGAAGAAAACATGAACACAGTTAATATTATAAGCGTCAACTCTTCACTTGGTGAACACTGACTTTTAACCATGCATAGAAATGGAAACTCAATGCACAAAAATCCATAAAGTGACTTCAGGTTAATCAAAACTGATGAACAGCGCATTACTGGTTATTGTTATTGTTATAAGATTTAGATTAGATTGCCAATTCTGTATGACAAAACATAGATTGTATAATCGAGATGGGTTGTAATGGGTTTGGTAGACTAGGCTGAGTGTTTGGGTGTTGAAGCTAAAGAATTGGAATTGTTAGAATCGGTAATTATGGCATGAATAGGCTGTGAAGATTTGACAGCTAAGTAGATGGTAACAATGTGTATTACAACTGTGTATATGTCCTGCAATTAGAATGTTAATATCCCTGATTTATGGGGATTAGGTCTGAGGAGTGTTTCCTTTTATACCTTAGTTTTTTCTTATATATTTATGTACATTCTTTGGTTGAATATTAAACAAGAGATTTTCATATTCTGTCATGGTATCAGAGCCAAGTTAGGCTTCTTGTTTTTCAATTTTTCAGCTTTCATCGTAGTTGATTTTTTTTCCAATCTGTGCAGAAACCTTTTATGTATTTTCCAGGCCTTCATTGCCTGAAACTCTTGCCGACAGCCTTAATTTCCGTTCATTCATAAGCTAATATTCCCACATGAACCCAGAAATCTTTTCTCCCTTCGATTTCAACTATGTCTGACGTTTCAGGATCCAGTAAATCTGCAGTCTCTTCAATGGCTGCAAACAACACTACTTCAAATAGTTCTGTTGGAGAATTGCAGAATATTCAACCTAGTTTACGTCTTAATGGCCAAAACTATTTGAAGTGGTCTCAGTTTGTTCAAACCTTTTTGAAAGGGAAGGGCAAACTGAGTCATCTTCTTGGGATGGGAGCAAAACCAGAAGATCCGAAGTTCACTGCGTGGGATGAAGAAGACTCGATGGTGATGTCCTAGTTATGGTATTCGATGATGCCAGAAGTTAGCAATACTTGCATGTTTTTGACAACATCAAGGGAGATTTAGGAGGCCTGCAGGCAGACCTATTCTAAAGTCCAAGATGCTGCACAAATGTATGAGATTAAGACAAAAATCTCATCTACCAAACAAGGTAACCGCTCGATCGCTAAATATGCCCAGATTTTACATAACTTATGGCAGGAGTTGGACTATTATTAGTGTATTGAGATGAAGTGTAGCGATGATGCAGCCCTTAAACGTTTTATGGAAAAAGAGAGAATTTACACCTTTCTTGCCGGATTAAACATTGAGTTCGATCCTGTCCGAGTGCATGTATTGGGAAAGGAAAAAATTCCTTCACTCAATGAAACAATTGCCATAATTCGTGGAGAAGAAGGACGAACAGCCTCAACCAGCAGATGGTTCAGCTTTAGTTACAAAAGCTGCAAATCCCATAGCTGTGAAATCAGACCAGCAACAGTCAAATGCCTATTCCAGTGGAGTAGGTGGGAATAATGGGCTGTCAGAAGGATCAAGAGCAGGTAATAAAGACTCTTTATGGTGTGTACGTACCGTAAGAAGCCGCAACATAGCAGGGAGAGGTGCTGGAAACTCTATGGTAAGCCCTCAAATACTAAAAATACTCCTTGGACTGCAAAAAGTAATCAAGGAGGAGAGCTAGTACAAGCACATTTGACCTTGACACAATCAGCAGGAGAAGGAGAATTCTCTCAGGAGCAATTCGAGTTCAATAGAGAAGAGATTGAGAGGTTGAGATACTTTTTGGGAACATTAAAGAAACCTACGAGTGGTGCAGGTTCTTTTTCCTTGGCTCTTTCAGGTAATTCTCAACCATATGCATTTAATGTGTCAACCTCAAAAGGAACTTGGGTAGTGGATTCCGGGGCTAAGGATCATATGACCCAATCTCGTCATGGGTTTGTCTCTTACAATCCTTGTCCTAGTAATAAGAAAATTGTTACTGCTGATGGAACACTGGTTACAGTTGCTGGTCGAGGAGATGTAGTTATAAATCAGAACTTCATTTTAAAAAATGTTCTGCATATGCCGAAATTGTCTACCAATCTAGTTTCAATTCACAACCCTACAAAGGATTTGAACTGTATGGTGACATTTTCTTCTGCACTTTTCAAATTTCAGGACCAGAGCACGGGGATGATGATTGGACTTGCTAGGGAGAAGAATGGGCTCTACTTTCTTGAAGAACCTGATGGGCAAAATAGCACTAAGGATCCGATTCCATTGTCTCTACTTTCTGAGTCTTCTCTTTCCAATAAACATAAAATATGGCTATATCATCTTCGTCTTGGGCATCCTCCTTTCAATATTCTTAGTAATGTTTCCTGGTTTGTTTAAAGGAGTTGATCTACGTATATTTCATTGTGATGTTTATGAACTTGCAAAACATAAGCGTGTTTCCTTTCAAATAAGTAATACGAGAGCTTCCATACCGTTTACTCTAATTCACAGTGATATTTGGGGACCTTCTACCATTCATAATATTTCTGGGGCTTGCTAGTTTGTCTCATTTATTGACGATTGTACTCATGTATCATGGATTTTTCTCTTAAAAAATAAATTAGATGTCAGTTCAACCTTCCAAAAAAAATTTCACATGGTGAAAAACCAATTTGGGGTTGAGATAAAAAGAGTTCGGTATGATAATGCTAGGGATTATTTTAATCAAGTGTTGTCACCATTCTTTGACGAAAAGGGAGTCATTCATGAGTCTTCGTGTGTCAACGCACCACAACAAAATGGTGTGGCAGAACGGAAAAATGGCCATCTTCTAGCTGTTACCCGAGCCTTTCTTTTCCACAAAAATGTTCCAAAAAATTATTGGGGAGAAACTGTGTTAACAGCTACACATCTGATTAATCCATTACCCACTTGAGTTCTTGATTATAACAGCCCCATGGAACTATTTTTGAAATTTTTCCCTAACTTCAAAACAACAAATTACCTGGTTCCTAGGGTCTTTGGGCGTGTGTCATTTGTTCATATTCATTCAAATAACCGTGGAAAACTTGATCCAAGGGCTCTTAAGTGCGTTTTTGTTGGATATTCTTCTACACAGAAAGGGTATAAGTGTTATCATCCTCTAACAAAACGATTCTTTGTCTCTACAGATGTAACATTTGTTGCAACTGAGAATTACTTTCCGAATCCTTATCTTTAAGGGGAGACATCATTCATGGCGGATAAGGACAGAGATTTGTTTTTACTTGATCTTTCATCCTTCTCCTCACAACATCAAAATCCACCATCATCTATCTCTATTCCTTTACCAAATGAGTCAGACCCAAGTATTCCGATCCCAGCGAAAAAAGATAAACAGATTCAAAGTTTCAAAGTGCTATTTGCCCGTTGCAAGTATATTCAAGGAGGAAAGAACCACTTGTTCAACTAATGCAAGTTCCTGATTCAAAACCAAACTCTGGTACTAATAATGTTGATGTAATTCCTAATTTTGAAGATTATACAAGTAATGTGCCAGTTGTTGATGTTGATTTCCCCATTGCGATTAGAAAAGGTGTTAGGAAGTGTACTCAGCAGCCCGTATATCCGTTGTCTCACTTTGTGTCCTCTGAAAAGCTGTCTAGTGGACATAAAAGTTTTCTTAGAGCATCTCCAATGGTTTGCCATTGGAGCTGCCATTGCTATAATATAGCAACTAGGTTGAAAAATGATGCTCCAATGGTTAAATATAGCAATTGCCAATTGTGCCAACTCAGCCAAACCAACTGTTTTCCTCCTTCCTTTCCTCCCTCCCTCCCTCCCAGCAACTGTTTCACCATTTTTATGCTTCAGAATTCACCAAAAAAAAATTTGAATACTTTTTTTTTTTTTAATTCACCCAAATTCAGCAAATTCAAACAAATTCAACAAATCCTTTTTTAATTTGGTCGAATTCAAACAAATTCAACAAATTCAATTTTTTTAAAAAAAAAATTTCTCAAACAAATTGAACAAATGTCAGATTCAACAATTTCATGAACACAACAACCAATTTCATAACTAAAATAATTAACTAAACTGAAAATAATAAATACCTTGTACCGTCGCCGATCGAAATTGAAAATGATCTTGTACCGTCATTGATTAAAGACAGAGAGATGGGAGATAGAGTGATAATGAGGGAGAGGTAGATCTGGTGATCGTGTCTTCCATTCTAAGACTGAGAGAGACAGAGAAACAGAAAGAAGTGAGAGAGAGAGAGCGGGGTGGGGGGTAGATGGTCGCCGATCGTCTCTTCGAAACTGAAAATGATCTTGTACCGTCACCGATTGAAGACAGAGAGATGAGAGATAGAGTGACAGTGAGGGAGAGGAGATCTAGTGATCGTCTCTTCCATTCTAAGACTGAAAGAGAGGTAGAGACAGAGAGGAGCGAGAGTGAGAGAGTGGGTGGGGGGTAGATGGTGGACAATGATTCTGGGAATGAGTGAGAGAGAGAGAGAGAGAGAGAGAGAGAGAGGAGTGAGAGCGAGGGAGAGGAAAAGGGTTGGATGATTCTCGATATTCATCTCAACCGTTGGAAATAGTTTGTGTGGACGGTGGTGATCTATCTTGGGAAGGCAAAAGAGTCGTTGTGCTCTTTTTGCCTTAAAAAATAAAAAATAAAAAATAAAAAAAAAAGCCAGCTATAAATTAACGGTCATGTTTTTTCCTAACGGTCATATTTTGTATTTCTATAAATAGAAACCTCAATTTCAATTTCATTTCACAGCAAATATTTCAAATTTTATATTTCTTTTCTCCTCTCTTTATCTCAATTGCATTTGACAGCAAACTTTCAAAATTACTTTCAAACCCTCAATTTGTTTTTAGTTTTTTCGGTCAATCAATAAGGAAGGTTCATCAAAAACAAAGAGAGAAAAATCATTGCATACTCAAGAAGATGTGGCAATTTGTAGAGCTTCGCGTCACATTACTGAAAACCAAATTGTTGAAAATTTGCAATCGCATGCTCATTTTTTGAAAAGAATTTTTGAAAATTATTGCTCCCTGCAGAATGATCACTCAAGAACACAAGTTTTTATCTCATTTCCATGGGGTGTAATCATGAAATGTTGCAACAAATTTTGTGGGTGTCTAGCGCAAGTCAAAAATCTACATCCAAGGTGGGAGTCACAAGTTGATATAGTAAGATTTCATTTTCATTTATTATGTTAGTTTTTTTTTTTATTTTGTCTTATATAAAAATTAACTAATTAATTAATTTAATATTTTATTGATATAGATGCTTCAAGCAAAATTGTTATACCATCAAGATAAAAACAAACATTTTGCTGTTGAACATTATTAGCCAATCTTGCAAAACAATATCAGGTGGCAAGATGTAACTCCTACGAACATGGTGAAGTCAAGGATACATACATCGTTTTCCCCTAATTCAGCCCTCGATTCCCCTATGGATAACTGCATTTCTCTTGAAGATGACACCAGTCCAAGTGTTGGTAACAATCCAACTGTTGGTGAGGGCAATGTCTCCGCAAAAGGTAAAAGGTCTATGGGTAGGAAAGCTGCAAAAGAATTATTTTGGAGAAATCAAGTCGTTCAAGCTGAAGTCCAAAAAATGAGCACACAATTGGACACATTTAACCAATACCTTGTTGAAAAGGAAAAGAAAAAAGATAAAAGAGAAGAAAAAAAGATTCAAGCACTGCAGGAGCTAAAAGAACTTGAGATGGAAAAACATGACTTTGAGATCAGAAGACAAGAACATGAGATGAAAAAGGAAAAACATATGATAATGACTACGGACATTTCTCATTTTGACTCTTAGATGAAAGCGTATTACATAATGCGCAAAAATGAGATTTTCGCCAAGTGGTCCTCAAATGTCAGCAGCCCAAATTACTATTTCTCCCTACCTCCTGATAAATAATTACTGGATAATGTATTTTTAAATTTTGCAATGTCATTTATTTAGTCTTTATTTGCAATATCATTTTTTTATTTTGTAATGAAATTTCAAATTTTTTTTTTTCAATATTTTCTACAACTCAATGTAATATTATTTTTGCAATGTATAATTTATTAAATATGTAGTGATATGTTTTTGGGTGGGATAAATTATATTTAAATTTTTTTTTCCAATTTTTCAATTTTTCAATTTTTTTATTTGTCTAGTCAGGAATAATATAAATATATAATTTTTTTTTTACAAACAGTTAAAAAAAGGTCACAAAAGACAAAATAAACAAAAATAAAATCACAAAAAATCTATATCCAAACAATACCTACAAACTTGGAGGGAAAGTTGGTTGAGATTTGTCAGAATAGCAAATGATCATTGGAGCACTATTGATATAATTTGGCAAAATAGCACTATTCATTGCCAAATTATAGCAATAGCAATGGCATTATAGCAAAAACCATTGGAGATGCTCTTATCCACCTCAATGCTATTACTATCCCAAAAACTGTCTCTGAAGCATTGGAAAGTAAAGAGTGGAAGGAAGCAATGAAGGTTGAAATGGTGGACTTGAGAAGAACAAAACATGGGACTTGGTGGAATTGCCTCAAGGAAAAAAGCTAGTGGGATGTAAATGGGTCTTCATTTTGAAATACAAGACAGACGGATCACTTGAATGATATAAGGCAAGGTTAGTAGCCAAGGGGTATACTCAAAACTATGGTATAGATTATCTTAAAACATTTGCTTCTGTTGCAAAAATGAATACTGCAAGAATCCTATTATTTTTAGCAGCTTGTCGTGGTTGGAATTTGCAGCAATTTGACGTAAAGAATGCCTTTTTATATGGTGATCTTGATGAAGAAATCTATATGGAGGTTCCTCCAGGATATGAGTCAGAAAAACATAAGGTGTGTAAGTTAAAAAAGGCACTTTATGGCTTAAAACAGTCTCTCAAGGCTTGGTTTGGCAAGTTTGCTAGAGTAATGAAAGCTTTGGGTTACAAACAAAGTCAGGATGATCACACATTGTTTGTCAAACATTTTGCTTCAGGGGCAGTTATAGCTCTATGAGTCTATGTGGATGATATAATAGTAATAGGAGATGACTTGCAAGGAATGGAGGTGTTAAAAAAGTGTTTATTGCAAGCAAGGTTTTAAAAAGCGGCCGCAACCGTTACGTAACGCCGTTACGTAACGGTTGTGGTGGTTACCGTCACCCGTGATTGAGATTCACAGGTGTGTCGGCTGTAGCGGCTACCGTAACGGTCGTAACGGTGTCATAACAGCCATAACGGTCTGTTACGCACCGTTACGTAACGGTTCTAAACTGTTTCTTTCGAAAACACACACACAAAAAAAGTTGAAAATGCAGAAAGAGGGATAGAGAGAAGATGGAAGATAAAGAGAGAAGATGGAGGAACAAGAGATAGAGAGAGAAGAGGGAAGATGAAGAACATGTTATTGATTTGTTGAAATTGCAAGACCTATGCTATTCTATTCAGCTGCTATCACTCAACCATTTTCT